TTCTCTGAGCTTGGATGCCTCATTTAAGAAAGAGAACAGCAAAACAAAAGTGATTTTGAAGATTCCTTCCATCCCAGACATTCTTTTGTATTATGCACTGAGTTGAATGCAACATGGGAAAAGATTCCTGTGTAGCTTGGAAAGCTCACATCAACATCCTTTAAATACGCACTGATGCAGAACATGGAAAGTGCAACAAGGTTGATCCTTAGACCTTTGCTAACAGTGATCTAACAGTGACCATTAGTGTCTCCCTCATTTTGATAAGTCCGTGCTCTCTGCTCTGTTCTCCTATGGCAGGGTATTAATTAGATAGTGGCTTATGTCTTAATTACTTAGAAACAAAGGGATGCATTCTTTCTACCTCTAAATTTGAAAGTACTTTATACATGTTGCAAAAACTTTGGAAAATGTAGAAAAGCACAGAGGATGACAAAAATCAACAATAATCTATCCATGCAGATATTACCAATGTTAAACTTCTGGTGTGTTTCATAACAAAAAAATTGTATTGTGCTCTTTTATAATTAGCTCTATTCACTTAGCAATGGATTATACTTTCTTATTTTATGTGAGATTTCTAGTAGCTCAATTGGATGCCATTTTATGAGTAGCCATAATTTATTTAATCAAACCTCTCTGGTTAAATATTGGGGGGTGCCCTATCCTTCAGATTTTTAGCAAACATCCGTGGCTGAACACAGTAGCTCATACCTGTAATCCCAGATCTTTGGGAGGTTGAAGTGGGAAGATTGCTTGAGGCTGGGAGTTTGAGACCGGCCTGGGCAACATGGCAAAGTCCTCATCTTTATAAAAAAATGTTTAGAAACTTAGCTGAGCCCAGTGTTACTTGTCTATAGTCCCAGCTACTTGGGAGGCTGAGCTGGAATGACAGCTTGAGCTCAGGAGTTCAAGGCTGCAGTGAGTTATGGTTGTATCTGTACTCTGGCTTGGATGGCAGAGCAAGACTCAGTCTCAAAAACAAACAAACTCCAAACATATAATGAATTACTTTTTAAAAATCAGATATTCTTATTTCTGACTAATTTCTTGTCAGCTATTCTTACCAGAGAATTCTTAGGGTAGACATTATATACATTTTTGGGTTTTAATAAAACCTATTCAAAAGTGCTGTCTTCCAAAAGAGTTCTTAATTTGCACTTCCCCTAACAGTATAAAATTGGGGCTGCTCCCTGCAGCTTTGCCAACAATTAGGTATGACCAAGGATTACACTGGCCAAGTGCTTTGGGCAGGGGCAAAGTCTAAAGTGGTAGCCAAACTGCTATTGCTCTTTGATCATGCCATGTTTATATATGTCTGGAAATAGAGCAGGAAAGCAAACAGTGACATTGATCATTTGGGGTTAGAGTTACCCAGTAAGTATTGAAACACCTAAGTATACATCAGGGATTCTAACCTGGTGTCTGAATCTTACTCCAGACTTGTATCCCACTTAACCTAAGAGTCTGCTCCATGCTGAACAGGACTGTTTGAACCAGAGGCCATGTTAGGCCACCAGGAAGCTAGAGAATAAATGAGTGTTATGGGAAAAGGAGGGGTGAAGGAAAACTGCCCATAGTGAGTGCACTTGTCATATGGATCAACATATTTCATCCTTAACACATAGTGCAGACATGTTTATACCCATTTTATCAATGGAGAAACTGATAACTCTGAGGGTCTGGGACTTCCCTCATGGTCACGCAGCTAATTAAAAACAGACCTGGGGGCCAGGTGTGGTGGCTCATGCCTGTAATCCCAGCACTTTGGGAGGCTGAGGAGGGCGGATTATGAGGTCAGGAGTTTGACACCAACCAGCCTGGTCAGCATGGTGAAACCTCGTCTCTACTAAAAATACAAAAAATTAGCCAGGCATGGTGGCGTGTGTCTGTAGTCCTAGCTGCTTGGGAGGCTGAAGCAGGAGAATTGCTTGAACCCAGGAGGCGGGAGGTTGCAGTGAGCCGAGATCACACCACTGCACTCCAGCTGGGGTGACAGAGCAAGATTCCATCTTACAAAAACAACAAACAAAAAACCCAGAACAGACCTGGGAGCCGAACCATGATTGTTCTGACCCTAAACCAGAGCTGTTTCCATTATAACACCAGCATGTGTTTGCCTTCCTGGAAAGGAAAAATAAGGCTGGGAGTAAACTTAAAGTGTAAAAATAATATTAGTTTAGCAGTGTAATACCTAGCATACAATAGAACTTGAATGTATTTTTGTGGAGGGAGTAAATGAATGACCAGTATTTCCTTCTAATCCTTTGCTTAAAGTGTCCTAAGCAATGGGAAAACAGTTGGTAAATCTTTCTCCTTCACAGAGTTGTTTGGTCCAAGCCTTCATCCTTTAATTATACCATATTTTCTTCACTCCAAATTAGTCCAAAACAGCCTATAATAGCTTTGTGTGTCTGGGTGGGAGAGGAAGTCTGAGAGATGTGTTAGGCTGATAGGAACTTTCTGATTTTAGTAAGTAGCATACTGATGATTTCATGTGGTTCAGCTTAATAGTTCAAATCTGAAATGCTGGTGTTTCTTTCCGTTTTAGTACTTATGAGAGAAAGAGAACCACTTCCTCTTCCTTCTCACCATCTTGTGGACACTCTTTTCTCCTAAACAGAAGGGGCAAAGCCAAGTTGCTTGCTCTTGATCTAACAGCACTTAACACAGCCCACCATCCGGGTGTTGGCTGCTGTAGGCAAAGGTGGTGGAATTGGCAAAGGAAAAAGCTTTGATGGGAAGGTGTGGAGGTAGATCCAGAGAAGGACCACCTGTTCAGCGGGCAGCATGATCCCAGGCAGAGAGACTGAGATAAGGACCAGGACCGTGATTTGGAGAGTGGGAATCAAAGGACAGAGGGAGAAGCAAAGGAGACAAGACAGAGTCTGCATATGACTGGAGAAATCACGTGAATGTTCAGATCCAGGAATCAGCCACAACTTCAGAAGTTAGGCCTCAGGTCCAAGGTAGAAGGAGGTGCAATCTTTATTTTGTTCTTTAAATGTGAACAGGAGGACACATTTTTTCCACATTGTTCTGAGCCCAACAGAGCCCAGGCATTGGGGCTGTTGCCCTTAATCCTCAGTGGAAGCTTCAGGCTTTGCCACTCCATATATTCTCCAGGGATCTGGTTTCCCAATCAGCACTGAAACTGTACACAGAGACATTCTTTTCTTTGACAAATGTGTGGTGGTTCCAGAGCTCTGGCAGCATATTGGGGCATTCGCGGGTTAGGATGGGCAGGTCGGGGTTTGCCTTTTCAGATTCATGTCGTATTTCTCCATGAAGTCCCTGTGAGCTAGAGAGAGTGATGCTGAGAGCGTGCTGTGGATAAGGGTTTCCTCAGACACCTGGGAGGTCGAGGCCGTGACCCCAGTCTCCCTAAGCCTGCCAGCCTCACCTGACACCTGCTGCTGGGTGAGCACTGGCATAAGTGGATGCGAATCTCAGGCATGCCTAGCTTTGCCCCATCCCTTGACTCCAGTACTGAAGCCCCAATGGCCTTAGAGGAAGTAAATATGGAGCTGGAGACCTGAGCAAATCAGGGTTCTTTTAACGTTTTTAAGAGTGTGGGGACATGCCAAGCTATAATGTATGTTATGGGCTGAATGTGTGTGTCCCCCCAAATTTCAAATGTTGAAATCTAACTCCCAAGGTGATAGTAAAAGGGGATAGGGCCTTTTGGGAGGTAATTAGACATAAGGGTAGAGCTCCCATGAATGGCATTAGTGTCCTTATAAAACAGGCTCAAGGGAGCTTGTTTCTCCCTTCCACCATGTGGGGGCATAGCTAGAAGGCAGCATCCATGAATCAGAAAACAAGATCTCATCAGATGCTAAGTCTGCCAGGGTCTTGATACTGGACTTCCCAGTCTCCTGGACTGTAAGAAGTACATTTCTGCTGCTTATAAGCCACCTTGTTTATAGTATTTTGTTATAGCAACACAAACAGACCAAGACAGTGTGTCAAGAGGCTTAGCAGTGTGCTGGGGTGAGGACCAGGGTAGGGGCAGACAGGCTAATGTGAGGCGATTCAGGCATTCTGCATTCACAGCTTTTAAATATTTACCTTAATCCATTCTCCCAATAGTTATTGAGCCTGTTTTCTCTACCAGAAATTGTGCTAATTTTAGAGAACAGATCACTCAATAAGATAAATAAGTTGTCTGTCATCATGAGCTTCTATTCTACTGGAGAAGAGATAAGCAGGGGAACAAATAAGTAAGTAAACTCATTCTGTACGGTGATACCGTTATGAAGTCAATACCCAGAGTGAAGGACTGGAGGGTTGTCCCAGAGAAGTTGACTGAAGTTCCAACAGGTGAGGTTAAGCCTGTTGGGAGGACCTGGGGAAAAGCAGGCCAGGAAGAGAAAAAGGCAGCTACCAGGGCCCAAGGTGGGAAGGGGCTGGTATGTTCTAGGGCCAGTGAAGTGAAACAAGGCCAGAGTGGGAAGAAAGAAATAAGCCCCAAAAGATGGGCAAAAGGGAGGATGGGCAGGGACTTGGGGACCTCATCTGGGAGTTTGAGTTGTATTCTTAGCACAATGGAAGGACACTGGAGGATTTTCAGTGGTAGACTGACATGATCAGAATTACTTTTCAAAAATTTCACTCTGGCTGCTTTCTGGGAATTACAGATGGGCAATGGAGCATCCAGATAAGAGATGTCAAAGCCCTTTAGCAAACTCAATGCCAGTCCTAGGCTCCTTGTGAGATCTCCTCAAAAAAGCACTTGGCAAAGAATCACTGTATTTTACAAGTTTCTAAAATTCATATTGAAATGAAATCACGGGCAGAATCTAATAAGTACTTTTTGGGCACTCTTATAAAGATCATAAAGGAGATTAGAAAAAACATACATTTGGAGAAGTACCCTAAAGTTTATGAATCTTTTAATTTAATTAATGAATCATGCATTCATTCATTCATTCTTCCTTTCTTTTATACAACAAATATGTATCATCCTTCTACTCTGTGCCAGGAACTGTGCTCTGTCCAGGGATTTCAATGGGGGAATAAACAGATAAGATCTTCTGCCTTCTTGGGGCTTGTGGTCTGCTCTAGGCAGTTTTCATAACCTTTAAGAACTCAGCCATGTTGCAAGACAAGTCAGTTCTTCAGATCTTCTGTACATCATATTACCTATAGTTAATAATACAGTATTCTATACATTAAAATACACTAAGGGGATAGAGCTTATGTTAAATGTTTTTACAACAAACCAACTCAGAAAACAATACAAGGTAATTTTTGGAGGTGGTGGATATATTTAGTACCTTGATTGTGGTAAAAGGTACCACGGTTGTACGCATATGTCCACACTCATCAAAATGTACACATTAAATATGAGCAATTATTTGTATATCAGTTATACCTCAATGAAGCATAAAAAGGAAAAAGAAAACAAAAAAGAACTGAGCCAGGTAGAAGCACAAGGAAGAGTGGTGAGACGTCACATGGGAAGAGCCTCAGGTTCTCCTAGGAGTGGGAGCTCGGTAAATATTGGTTGACAAACAATTGATGTTGAACAAGCCGTTAACATCTCTGGACCTGTTCCTTGCTTTCAACAGAAGAGAAAAGCTGGGCAGCGGGCCGTAAACACCGAGTAGCTGATATGTAAGTCTTCTTTCAGTGTTAAAATTATATCATGTGGAAGTGGGATGGAAGGATAAGTTTCAGCAATCTTAGCATCACTAAACATAGGATGACCTATGTGCAGACCTCCTGAGTGGCACAACATGATGGATGTAGCACTCCCTGTGGAATCTTCTTGCCAAAAAATGGGACCGCAGTTTGCTATCAGTAAAGCTGCTAGGTCTACCTACCATTTATAGGAAATAATAAGGAAAGAGAAGCATGTTGAATGTATCACAGGGCACAAGATGAAACCAGCCAACTCTAAGTGTGGACAGTTCTACAGGATAAATTATCCATTGCTTTTTTTTTTTTAACACAGAAAAGTGCCAGGTTTTGGGTGAGGGAGTATCTTTAGATTAAAGGAAACTTCAGAGATATTTCAACCAAAAGCAATGATAGATCCTGTTTGGGTCCTTGTTTCACAGACTAAATATAAAGAGATATTTTTGAGACAACCAAAGAAAAATGAACCCAAATTGGGTATGAGATGACATCAAGGAGCTATTATTCATTTCTTTAAGGTTAATAATGGTTCTATGGTTTTGCTAAAGGAAAAAGGTTCTCAGGTGTTTCATGCTACAGTATAAGTGAACCTTGATGACATCATGCTAAGTGAAATAAGTCAGACACAAAGAGACAAATATTGTATTATTCAACTTATAGGAATTACCTAGAGTAGTCAAACTCATAGACAGGTAGGATGGTGGTTGCCAGGGGCTACAGTCAGGGAGAAATGGGGTCTTAGTGTTTAATGGATTCATAGTTTTAGCTTGGGAAGATTAAAAATACTGATGGTTGGATGGTGATGGTTGTACAACAATGTGAATACACTTAATGCCTGTGAGCTTCCACTTAAAAATGCTTATGATGGTAAATTTTATGTTATATTTATTCTACCATGATAAAAAAGACTTCTTAGGTGTTATAGAGAAGTGCTGGAGTAGTTTCAGGTGAATGAATAATCCGATGCCTGGGATTTGCTTTAAAATAATCTAGTAAAACAAAACAAACATCTGGAGGATAGAGGAGAAAGAAGACTAGATAAATGTGTATATTGTTGAGGCTGAGTGATGGGTAAGGAATGCTAGTTACACTATTCCTTTACTGATAGTATGTTAAACACTTTATAATATGAAGTTCAAAATATCTCTGTCATTATTTGTTATGTGAAGTTAAATTTTCTGAGATGCTTAGAGCACTGATATACTCTTTGTAGAGGATTTTATTAAAATAACAAAACCAAGTCCTGCAAAGCGCTAGTAATATGAGCTGTCATGGCATGAAATGGAGCATAAAAGAGGGCCCAGGCTCCAGGAGGCAGTCATAGAGACTGCTTTATAGTGAGCTACTGCCTCATATGTTATACAGGCACCCTTGTGCTGCTGCTCTTGTCATATTGCTGGGCAGAGTAAACAAAACTCTATACATCAGTGGTCCTTCTTGCTGCCTCCATGTTAGAACTATTGGGGAACTTTTAAAAATACTGATGCTCAGTCCCCACCTCAAAACAATACCAATTGAGCTAGAATCTCTGAAGGTGGGCTCCAGAGAGGAGTCATTTCCAGACCTCCTTAGATGATTCTAACATGCAGTCAAGGCCAAGCACTACTAGTATATGAACTGCTTGGTACCTGGTAGGTGCTCACAAAGTGCTGATTGAAAATGAACCTGGAACGAGTTGCCTAGTATGCTGTGTTTTGGCCATTTGATAAAGCTTTTTATGGAAAATAATTTATATGCAAACTTTTCTCTCTTCCACCCAGGGGATCCAAATACCAGAGTCCATTAATTTATTTCTTGAGTCTTTGCTGGAGGAGGCACACTTATTCCCAAGAGAGTATTGTGGTGGCTGTTAGCAAGAGCCTGGAAAGATAAGAATAGTTTCAAAAATGTTTTTGGGGCATCACAAACACCCCATTGTAACACAACGCTAGTTGGAATAACATTAAAGAAAAGTGAATTATGCCCATTTCTCAAAGGGAAAATGAAAGCCCCTTGGACATGTGATTTATTTTGAAGCTGAAGCCTTTAATCACATTGACAATAAAAGATATGGTCCTCCTATGAACTAAGGAATGATAAGCAGCCACTTGCAATCTCATAGCTTAAATACATAACTTCTAGTATTTAACTCTATGTTTCACCCCGGTATATTGAGAATGAAACGATTTCATAATGGTTAGAGAGAAATGGAGTCCTTACCCTGATTCAGTTAACTGATTGGAAAGTGGAAATAATTCCACATATCTTCCTTTGCTCACCTGTGTGCCTTGGAATTCAGAAAGAATATTCACAGGGCAATCACTTTAAACAGACTGACAAAAGCACATACTCTAAACTTTCATTGCAAAGAAATTTTCTGTAATAGAATAGTAATAGAATACTTCATTTTAAACCTGAAGTGAAGCATGTGTATATTTGTGTGTGCCAGGGGGAGGGGTCCTGTCTTTTTATTTCTCCAGAGCCAAACAGAGTGAGTGGTAGATGAATAGAATTGCCAGATTTAGCAAATAAAAATGCAGAATTCCCAGTTAAATTTGAATTTTGGATAAATTTGCAAATATTGCCTGGGACATACTTATACCAAAAAGTATTCAGTTTTTAACTGAAATTCAAATTAAAGTGGGCATCTTATATTTTATCTGAAAACTATACAGAGAAAAAAACAAAACTGTACAGAAGACTGTGTAGGTCTTTCCTCTCACATATACAGAGTCCAAATAACCTACTCCAGGATGTCCAGGATGTCTTGGAGGTGAAGGTTATCAAAGAATGCCCAAAAATATGGGCCAGGAGGGTGATACTGGCAGTCAGTATCAAGAAGTCATTGTATCAGTTAACAGTTGCTTCATAACATCACCTCAAAATTCTATGGCTTAAGATAATTTATTACTGCTAACACTTTTGCAGATTGTGGTTTGTTCATGTAGGCTGGACTGGGGTTTATAGCTATAGGTTTACAGCTATAGGTCTGTGATTAGGCTGGAGTAGTTGATCTTAAGGCAATGGCAGCTGGAGAGACTAAATTTCTCTTCTTCCTCCTGAGAACAGCGCGATCATTGGTGCATGGTCTTCTCATAGTGATAACAAAGGCACAAGTGTGCAAATGGAAATATGCAAGGCCTCCGAAGGCCAAAGCTCAGAACAAGCACGCTGCCATTTCTACCAACATGCCATTGGCCAGAGCAAGTCACATGACCAGGCCCAAAGTCAAAGAGTAAGGAAGTATCTTCCACCCACGAATAGGCCATGGCAAGGGTGTAAATCAGGGCTAACAATTCAGGGCTACCACAGGCAGGCACAGGGAAATTGAGGTTTAGGGAAGGAAATCAAGTTGTTGGCATCTTTCAGAAGCAAAGGGAACTTAGACATGTGGGGGTGGGGAGAACAGGAGGTCAGTTTACTGGGGAGCTGGCTACAAGGTGAGAGGGGCTTCAATGCAAGGCTTACTTGATTCTTAACTTGAGCCTCGATGCCAATATTTCCATGTGCCTGGAAAAGTTCTCATGGACTGAGGTGAGACTGAACATACAGGTAGGAATTTCATGGTCTTGGCAATGAAAGCTACAGGACAGGAGTATGACTAGCAATTCTCTTAAACTTTACTCCTTAACTCACATTGCACCCCTTGCCTTCTCACCCTCCATTAATTACTCCTTTAGTTGAAGAGACAAGACACTAAGGCCATGGTAAAAGACAACTCATTTGCATTCATTAATGTTGTAGTCGGGACTTATTTCATTCAAAGAGTAGAGATCCAACAAATTAGTTCAAGCTAAAAAGGGAAATTGTTAACATATAACTATAAAGGCTAGGGATATCAGCTTCAGGTAAGGCTGAATCCAGGTGCTCAAATGATGTCAATGGGGATCTGTGTCTCTTTGTTCCTAGGCTCTGTGTTCTTCTGGGCTGGCATCATTCTTAGGCAAGCTTCTGCTTCATGATGCCACAATGGCTGCTGACAGCTCCAGATGTATGCTCTCTCAACTTGGCAACCTAGGAAGAAAGATCACACACCCCCTTTTTTTCAGTTCAGTGAAAATTTTGGAATTGAGGTTAGGTTTAATGTGGGTCAAATGTCTACATTAGGCTTAGTATGGATCAAATGACCAGGATATTTATTTGCCATACCTGAATGTGTGAACCCAAATTGTGACATTTCAACAGTCCCACCTAACTCACTCTAAATGAAGGCAGGGGAGAAGTGGGAAAATTAGGGAAGTGTAACCAAAGATGCTGGGCAGGCAAAAAGCAACACGTATCTCTATGGCTCCTCATTTTCCTTGTGTAAAAGCTCCTTCAGTGTCCACTTTCCCCAACTCTCACTGTCCTGTCACCTCCCACTCTCTCCAGCTTCATTCCTCTTCCACTCTACTGCCACCTTCCTCTTGCAGGCATTCAAGGAGCACCTATACTAAGGACTCTGTGCCATCTATTTGGGCACTTCCTCACTGAGACCTCCCTAAACTATTTTAAATGACAATCTGAGCCCTCGCCATATCTAATCACTTTTACCCATATTTACTCTTTTCCTCCTTTTTAAATAGTATTTCTCATATCATGATTATTGTTTACTGTCTCCGCTTTCACTCCCATTCTCTTTTTTACTGCCTGTAGAATGCCAGCTTTACAAAGGCAGAGGTTCTTTGCATCATTTGTGAATTTATCTCAGGTGCCAACAATTGTGTTGGCCACATAGTAGGTGCTCAACAAATATGTGTAACATGAACCTACTGCAGTTTCTGAGAGATGCTAAACATCAGGTCTATTTTAGAGAGAAGGGATTTGCTAGGGTGGCAATCCCACAGCAATCCAACTCCCCAACTCCCCTGTTGTGTACCCATGAGAGAAACATTAATTTTTCCATCTGAACTTAGATAACACCCACCAGGCAAGCACTATGGATCAACGAAGACTTCCTGAAATTAGAAAGTTATGCTCTAGTCTTGCACACAAGATGGAACTTGGGATATCAGCCC